GACAAAGATTTGTCCTGACTGTGGGCAAGGCAGGGAAACTCTAGCTACATTCAGGGATCTTGTTTTGAAAAGAAAAAGGGTGGATAAGACATAAGATAAAAGGGTAGATTATTGGATCTACTTTTAAACCAAAACAGCAACTACTTGTCTTAAATATTTTACATTGGCTTGGATTTTTGTATATTGATACAAATTTGAGGGTTTTTATTATACTATATATGTGTTATAGAAATGATAGAGTAAAAAGGTAGATTATTCCCTGCTTCAAAATTATAGCTTGGGTTTTGTGTGTGTGGGTTCTAAGGGATTGAACTCAGACCCTGATGCTTATAAAGCAAGCACTTTGCTGACTGGGCTATCATCCCAGGCTCCACTCACTCTCCTCTGACCATATTTCCTATACTATATTTAAAAATGCCTTCTACAGATTTCAGACAGGATGGTAAAATTGATTTGTCTATATACACTCTGCCTGTAGCAGATATATAGTTGCTAGTTAATTCCTTACAGTGTAATATGACCTTTTACTCTGAAGAGAGAAGCGCCTTTGGGCTGGAGAGCTATCTCAGTGTGTGAAAGTACTGGCCTCACACGAATAAGGACCTGAGCTCATGTCCCCAGCATGTAGGGTGCAGTAGCATGTGCCTATAATCTCAGGATTCCTATTGTGAAATGGGAGGCATGGAGAACTAACTTTATGCACGAGGTATGGGAGGGGTATGACAGAGATAGAGTGATGGTCTCCAACTCACAATGAGGTGGAAAGCAAGAAATAATATCCGAAGTTGTTCTCTGATCTCTACATGTGAGCCACAGCACATGCATGCCCCTCCACAAACACACATACACACAAACACCATACATACACACACAAAAAGAGAAATGCCTTTTGCAGATGTTTTGCTAGACCCAATGCTATCATGTTATCAGTTCATATTTACACAGCATGTCAGAGTTGACAAGGCTCGTCTATAAATATCCATTTGATTTTCAAAGAACTCAGTTTGATGTCTGGGAAGGTATAATTAGCTCCATAAAGGAAACAAGGTCAACCAGGAAATAGTAGTAGAACCGGACTCATAGGTCACTGAATACTGAACGGCTCAGTGGCCTTGCTCACATACAGCAGAAGGGCACAGGCCTTTTGTAGAAATGCATTCTGCAGTTTTATCAATCACATACCCAAATTCTCTTTAGGACAAGGTAAATATACATGATTGTTAATATACTAATAATAATTAATGACATTAATATTAATAATTACCAATATATTACCTTGTCCTAGGATCTGGAAAACGATAAATTTTGTTATTTTGAAAAAATATTTTAATGATTGTTTTTTTCCTTTTTAATTTTTAAAATGAAATTATTTATTTCCCTCTCTGTGTGTGTGTGTGTGTGTGAGAGAGAGAGAGAGAGAGAGAGAGTGTGTGTGTGTGTGTGTGTGTGAGATAAAGAGGTCAGAGGACACCTTACAGGGGTGGGTTCCCTCTTTCTGCTATGTGGGGCCTTGGGATCAAACTTAGGCTGGCAGGCTTGGCAGCAAGTGTATTCACCTGCTGAGCCGTTTTAGGGTCCTGTCTCCCTTTCTTGTCTATCATTAGCACCGTTGACTTCATCTTCCTATCTGGACATTATGGCTGTAATCTTACCTATATTTGAGAGTTTAAGAAAAAGGATCTCAGCGTCCTCACTTTTCTGATCTTTATATTCAGGAAGTGCATCTCTACATAGCTGAGTATCTGGAGAATTGGGTTCTTCCAGGGATTGTAGAAAACTGAGGGTAAACTTGGCAATTTCCGCAGCTGGGCGGTGGCGCACGCCCTTAATCCCAGCACTCGGGAGGCAGAGCCAGGCGGATCTCTGTGAGTTCGAGGCCAGCCTGGGCTACCAAGTGAGTTCCAGGAAAGGCGCAAAGCTACACAGAGAAACCCTGTCTCGAAAAACAAAAACAAAAAACAAAACAAAACAAAACAAAAAACCAACAACAACAACAACAAAAAAAACTTGGCAATTTCCCTTCCTTGGGCTGATTCTCTTTCTCTCGCTTCCTTTCTTGTCCACCTCCTTTTCTTTTTGGTTTTTCAAGACAGGGTTTCTCTGTGTAGCCCTGGCTGTCCTGGAACTCTCTGTCCTGGAACTCAAAGAGATTCACTTACCTCTGCCTCCTGAGTGCTGGGGTTAATGGCGTATGCCACCACTGCCCCGGTTCTTTCTTTCTCTTCTTTCTTTCTTTCTTTCTTTCTTTCTTTCTTTCTTTCTTTCTTTCTTTCTTTCTTTCTTTCTTTCTTTCTTTCTTTCTCTTTCTTTCTTTCTTTCTTTCTTTCTTTCTTTCCTTCTTTCTCTCTCTCTCTTTCTTTTTTCTGTCTTTCTTTCTTCCTTTCTCTCTCTCTCCTTTTTTTTTAAGATAGGGTTTCTCTGTGTAACAGCCCTGGCTGTCCTAGAACTCATTGTGTAGACCAGGCTGGCCTCAAACTCACAGAGATCCACCTGCCTCTGCCTCTCAAGTGCTGGGATTCTCTCTCTTTTTTTAAAGACAGGACCTCACACAGTCCAGCTGGCCTCAAGCTTCTGTGGCCAAGAATGACCTGAGTTCCTTCCTCCACCTTCTAAGTGCAGGGTTACAGGTATGTGTCACTTTGCCCCGCTACTCTTTGGTCCTCATTCTCTTCCTCCCTTCTGCTCTTTCCTCATCCTCCTCCTCTTCTGGCACAATCTCCTCAATCTGTAGCCCATCCTGACCTCAAACTGATGAGTAATAATCCTGCCGCATACTCCCAAGTGCAAAGAGTTAGGCATAATCCATCACTACGGCTATATTTTCTTGTCTAAATCTAGAGAACATATTAATTCTAGACTATCCTACCAAGTGTGATGGTTAGTTTTAACTGTCAACTTGGCACAACCTAAAATCACCTGAGAAGAAAGACTTGGATATATACATACATATGGATTATATATTTACGGAGTAGAGAGAACACTGATATCCTTTTTCTTAAACTCTCAAATATAGATAAGATTATAGCCATAATGTCCAGATAGGAAGATGAAGTCAATGGTACTAATGATAGATCAGAAAGGGGAGAGAGGACCCTAAAACGGCTCAGCAGGTGAAGGTACCTGCTGCCAAGCCTGACAGCCTGAGTTTGATCCCAAAGCCCCACACAGCGGAAAGAGGCTTGCAGGCTCCTTTTATAGACAACCAGGAGGGGATTAAGTCATCCTGAGCATGACTGGTCAAGCGAGCAGCAGCCATGTTAATACGCTTATGATTGGCTGGGGCTGTAAATGCTGACTTCATGCCTGGTGTGCAGTATCTCCCCCATCTGCCGTATCTGAAACCGAAACAGGAACTGAGACCCAAACAGAAACTGAAACTGAACTGAAACTCAGGTCAGGACTAGTAGAGGCTGGGGCCTGGAGAAGCTCACCATGGTGCATCTGTCACCCTAACCGTGGGCAGCACCTCTTGGTAGTGGCCCAGATAAAAGGAAGTGGGAAAGCTTTGCTGTTTTGCCTCTTGCTGGGAAGTTCATCTATCCTGTTGGTGCTGCTGCTGATTCCTCAGTTTATGTTAGAATCAGCTTTGTCCATAGGCAGAGAACCAGCCGCTCTCCTGGAATCCCTCAGGTCTTCAGGGGCAGATTGGGACTGCTGCGGCTCCTGTCTCTGTGGACTGAACAACTACCAGGTTCTTGGCCTTTGCAGTGAGATAACCTCTCCAACTGTACCGTATAAGCCAAGGTAATAATTTTTTTTTTTTTTTTGAGACAGGGTTTCTTTGTGTAGCTTGGCTGTTCTGGAACTTGCCCTGTAGATCAGGCCGGCCTCCAACTTACAGAAATCCGCCTGCCTCTGCCTCCCGAGTGCTGGGATTAAAGACGTGCGCCACAACCCCACCCCTGAGTTCTTCAACAGGACACTGTTTATCATATTGAAATCATAAGGGAGCTTATAACCGGCCAGTGGCAAAGTGTTTTGCCCAGCATAAGCATGACTCTGAGTTGGATACCCAGCTCCAAAATACGAATAAAATACACAGAGAAAACGATTTAAACTGGGTTATGGCGAAAGCAGAAACAAGTACAAAGTTTAAAACTTGGGCGGAATGAAACCTCCACATAAACACACGCGCTCGGTCCAAGGGAAGGGTTTAAACCTCTAGGAGGGCGAGGGAAAAACCTCCCTGAGCTGTCTGAGCATTAACGTCAACTCCCAAGAAAGTCTCCCGCCGCCAGCGGCCAGCCGCAGCCCTCGGGCGCCCCAGAGCAGCGGCGCCGACGCCCGCCCTCGCGGTGGCTAGGCAACCGCTCGCGCCTTCTCACGGCCCTAGCCCCGCCCCCGGAGGCACTTCCGCCGCCGCGCGGCCGCGGGCTTCCGCCTCTCATTGGCTCGGGCCGCCCCGAGACGGGGCGGGGGAAAATGCGTCAGCCGGTGCGGTCACTTCCGGCCCGGGAGCGCGCGGGTTGATTTGTCCTTCCTCAGCCGCGGGCGCTCACCGCTCGGAAATGGCGGGTAAGTTCCCGGGAAAAGTTTAGCAAGGGGAGGAGGCGGGTGGTTCTGGAGGAGAACGTCGGGGCGGCCGTGACAGGGGCCGCCTGGAACTTTCGAGCTCTAGCCGAGGTTCCAGAAGGGCCGCTCCGTGCCGCGAGGCAGCGAGCGTCGGAGGCTGGCTCCCGGTGGGCCGCGCTCGGCGCCGCCGCCGCCCCCCAGTGTTTGCGCCCCGCGCCTCCCGTGGGCCACCGGGCGCTGCCGGGGGTGGGGTCGGTCGGCGAACCCCGGGAGGAGCGCGCGATTTCGTCTGGTGCAGCGCGGTATGCCTCGGGGCCTGCTTTCTCCGTCTCACTCTGCCCACGGCGGTCCTGATGTGGTCCACGGGGTCCGGTTCCCGCCCTCGCCACCCCACCCCCGCATCCTCCCAGGGTCCTGCCCATCTTCCCCAGTCAACTTGTGTGCGAGCGCAGTCCTGCTCTGACCTGGTGCAGGGCACACTCTAGCTCTGGGACACTTCAGGATTCCTGAGATCGTTTTTTAGACGTCCTTTGAGAAAGACGTTTTTGCACAGCCTAACTTCTCTCTTCGAGTGGGACTGCTGTACTGTATGTAGTAGTGGTCTCTTGTTCTGGTTCATTCATTTGAGTCTTCTGGTCTTCAGTGTTTACGATATATATTTACAAGGATGAGAGTGCGGCTCAGTGGTAAAGTGCTTATCTGGTGTATATGATGCCACAGGGTCAGTCCTTAGCTCAGCTAGAAATAAAAATACAGACAAACCACGAAGTGGTTCACACAACGTATTGTATCACATTACGTTGAGATGATTTTAGGATGCCCTAAATGATTTCTGTTTGCTGGTTAGGTTCACTGTTTTGTTTTGTGTGATGGGAGAATTGAACCCAGGGTCTCATGTATGCCAGGCAAGCACTCTCCCAAGCAAGCTGCATCCTCAGTCCCATGTTGAATATTTTATTTTATTTTATTTATTTATTTTTTTTTTTTGGTTTTTTTTCGAGACAGGGTTTCTCTGTGTGGCTTTGCGCCTTTCCTGGAACTCACTTGGTAGCCCAGGCTGGCCTCGAACTCACAGAGATCC